CCCAGGCTTCTTTTGGGGGTGAGAACGTTCTGGGCAGAACGGTGGAGGCTCCTCGTGAGATGCACAGGTCAAGAGCATCCACGGGCTTCATACTGGGCTGCAGGGCTCTGATGATAGGATGCAAAGCACTTCGCTCTTGAGCATTTATTAAAGCAACTTCTCTCAGCCTTATTAGTGCCCTGAGAGCTAAAAAGAGATGCTATTGCCTGCCTTATTGCTTTAGGAGTCTGAGACAGAGAGTTTACACAACTTGCTGAGGACTTAGAGCAAAGTCAGTGGAAGGCTAGAGGACTCTGTCTGGTGGGTTTGGGTTGCTCTGTGTGGTGGACTGCTAATTCCTTAACAGCCGAGGTGGGAGAGCGTGCCCACACTCTCAGGCCCGCTCATTCATCGTGTGCCCAGAACCCCGCTGAATGCTTGCTGGGAGGCACCGAAAACTCCATGGGGTGTGAGGGGAGCTGCTAGGACTCTGGGACCACAGCAGTGCCCACCAGGCAGAGCTTCATGGCTTGCCTCTGATGTCTGCCCCGCAAAAGCTGGAAACTTCAGTCAAGGGGCTCCAGGGGAAAATGGGGCAGTCTGTGGTTGAAATAAGTGAAAAACTGAAGCAGATGCAATCATGTCTGCTGAACCCCTTTCTCCTCCCCCCACATCTTAAAAACAAGCCGTGCATCTGCTCAGTGCTTTCCAACTTACCAAGTGTTTTCATAACATTATCTCATTTCATCCTCATATCAACCCACACACATTCTTGCCTTTCAGATTTCTTATATACTCAAATGAGTTTCACTGAAAAATTGGCTAGAAACTCCCTTTCTCCCACTCACTTTTTTTTTTTTTTTTTTTTTAACCCCAAGCCTTTGACTGATAGTTTGAGAAATTCCTAGATTCCCAGGGTGGGAAATGTGTTTTTTCTGCCAGCCCTACTACCCCACTGGATGGTCACAAAGTAGTCCTGATCTTTGCTATTGGAATCAACACCTGTGTATTCAGTTTATAGATTAGCTGTTAAAACAAACAAAGCCACAGAGGGGAGGATAAATGTCGCATTGTGGGGAAAATATAGGCTTCAGAACCAACAAGCCCCAGAGTCAAATTTTAATTGAGCCATTTGAGAGTCATGTTACTTCACCTCTCAGAACCTCTTTTTTCAGCTCTAAAATGGGGCAATAGTGCCTCTGTCTTAAAGTTGTTTGTGAGGCATAAGTATTCTAACAGATGTGAATGTATCTCAACAAACTTACTTTGTGAAGTCCCTTCTAGCTAACCCAAGAACCAGCTTCACCACTACTAGGCAAATTGCGAGCAATACTGACTTTTTGCAAAGGCAGAAGGGACATAAAGTGTGGGAATATGCTGCTAAATGAATGTGGATGGAGACGTTTTTACTCGATGAGTAATTAGAGACGTGTCCTGCATACATGGCATAGTGGTGTCTGAGATAATTCTAATAAGATATAAAGCTCAGTACCTTTATTCTTTTTTTTTTACTCTTATTTTAGGTGAGAGTGAGAAGGAGCTGGGAAACTGGATTTATGTAATGTTGGAAAGCATTACAACTTGGATTTTTCAAGTTGTAAAGTTCTCATTACACTTGGATTTTTATCGAAGCAGAATTGCAATTCAACTTTCTAGTTCCTGGGGACAAAGGTAGGAGAAGGGACTACAGAAGCATATTTAGTTCCCTGGTCTGAACATAGTAAATGCTCAATAAATGGTGGTGGTGGACTGAGGGGGTTTCAAGAGACCAGGTCGTGTGTTTGACTTCTGTTGCTGACTTCCTGGCAAGGCGTGGGGTTGTCGTGGAAAGAACATTTGACCAGCAGTTTGAAGGCCTGCGTTCAGGTTCCATCAATACCACTTAATAGCCTGGCGACCTTGGACATGCCACTTAATCTTCGATGTCTTCTCACCTGTAAAATGAGGAGACTGGACTCGGTGATTTGGAAAGTCTCTTTCAGCTCTAAGTTTCTGCAGCTCAATGCAACTTCATTCGTTTGTGTTTCTGTTTCTTCATTTATTCAAAGAAAGCAGGGATAGAAACCCATCTCATGGGGTATTGGGAAGAAATGGTCAGTCTGCTGGTTAAAATAACCTGTGTCTTTAGAGAGATGAAGGAAACACAGTGTCCCACAGCAATGTAGTAGAGTGGCTGTGTGATCCTTGAAAACCCCCTTCATTTATTTCAGCTTCTGTGGGCATATTTTTAAAGTTGTGCTATGGTAGTCTTTCTACATTCTTTTGAAAGTTGAGACCATGGAAATGCTTTGAAAACCTGCAAGGCGCTATAGAGAGTATTCGGATTGAGAAATGGTATATTTGTTATAGTTGTATAAAAGTTTAGCCCTATGCTTCCCATATTTTCAAATGAATGAATGTGTCATGGGGACCCAGAAGGGAAACAGAAACTATAGATTTGGGGTCCCAACTCAAGGCTTACTTTCAACTGTATCCTACTGACCGAGGTGAAATTTAGCTAAAATTGGCATTAATACAAAGTTTCCCCAAGAGGAGCATAAGATAATTACCTCAATGTTCTCCAATGTAGGAAATTTTTCCAGAGGCCCGATAGGCCAGATATCTGCTGATGGAGGCCTTACTTCCCCATCCTCTTCTCAAAAATGAGGCCATTTTGACACTAAGGTGTGTGTGTGGGGGGGGGGTAGCTTTCTGAGTTTTGAAAGTTTCACAAAGCAATAATCACAAAGATATAATGAACGGCTGTTCGTGTAAAACTGGCGAGACAGTCTTTCATGCCAGGCCTTGCCACGGGTTGCTACTGGGGAGAGATGGCAGAAGGCATCGGTTCTGCTCACCCAGGCTCTAGCTCAGGCACTCTCCTCTAAGTGCCCCAGAAAGTCCAGCCTGGAAACCAGTTCTCCAAGCACTGGCTTCTCCTTTGGTGGAGTAGATGACATGTCACACCCACCCTTTGAGAAGCTTCCCCACCCTACACCCAAGGCACAAACAGAGCCCCCTAGCGGCAGTAACCTCACACCTGGAATCCCCACCCCACCATGGCACCTGTCCACAGAAGCATCATCGCCCTCCATCAGGACAGTACCTCCAGAGGAGCAGAATGGAGATGGTACTTAGAAGCACAAATCAATTTCTGATTTATCTTGTGGGGAGGGAGTGGAGATGGGGGTGACGAGAAGCTCCTGAATTTCTCTGGTTGGAGGGAGCAACTAGGGGGCTGATCTTTTTTATTTTATTTTATTTTTTGGCTGCGTTGGGTCTTTGTTGCTGCACTCAGGCTTTTTCTAGCTGTGGCGAGCGGGGGCTACTCTTTGTTGAGGTGCGTGGGCTTCTCATTGCGGTGGCTTCTCTTGTTGTGGAGCACGGGCTCTAGAACTCAGGCTCAGTAGTTGTGGCACACAGGCTTAGATGCTCCACGGCATGTGGGATCTTCCCGGATCAGGGCTCGAACCAGTGTCCCCTGCATTGGCAGGTGGATTCTTAACCACTGCGCCACCGGGGAAGTCCCTAGGGGGCTGATCTTGAAGCTGCATTTTCATCGGAAGTTCAGTTTTTTATTCAGGTTGTATATATGAATGACTAAAAATAGCAAAGTTAGTTTTAATTTAATTATTCTTATAATTCTTATTATTTTTATTTGGGTTGGCTTGAGAGGACTGATCAAATTATGAGGGCCTCCTCATGGCCCTGCCACTGTTAAACCCTCACCATTAATCCTATCCTCCTTTACCTGAGATAAACCTGATGTTTCTACTTTTAAGCGCATATATATGGATTCAATACATTCACTATCTTTCAAAGAGCTGACTTCAATGCACACTTCATTTTGCCTAGTTTTGGATACCGTCCTCCCCCTGTCCCCCCTCCTTCCCCCTCCACACACACATAGACTTCCTCTGTCCCCAGTACACACTTAAGTCAGGGTTATAAAGCCATTTTACAGGAGGCTCTGAGGCAGAGGTGTGAAGCAACGCACTCCAGCCACAGAGGGGCAGACTCCCATCCCTGCTCTGGGGGCTGCGCAGCCTGACCGCACGGAGGGACTCCCGGCATTGCAATTCCCGGGCAGTGTGGGAGGGGTTCGGCTGAAGCTCTTTGTTTCTTCTTCTTGGAGGAGATCTGGGAGCCAAGCCTGGTGGGGTGTGCTTGTGCGGCGTCCCCCAGCACCCCCGTTCCCCCGCCACGGGTTGGGTGTGTATGTGTCCAATGGAAAAACCCTACGACGACACCACATCCTTTCGCACACAAATCAAACCCTCCACGGCTCTCAGGGCTGCAGACCAGTCCCTTGCAAGCTAACGTGACCCCCGCGGGCACTCGGTCCCGCAGCTCCGCGTCCCCTCCCACCTTCCCACTGCCTCTTTTTTAGCTGTGCTCTCATTTGCACGCATCTTCCCCGGGATAGAAGAGACGCGTCTCGGGCGCAGCAGTTCAGGTGCCACGGGCGAGGATAACAGGGAAAGGCCTAGTTTGGGGGATGTACCCTGAAGAGGGGTCCCGAGGTGTGGGCCGGGGACGGCGAGTGGGTACAAAACAGGGCGCTGGTTGAGGGATGGCGCCCGCCCCCCGCGCCGAGCGGTCACGTCCGGAGTGGGCCCCGGCGCCGTCCTCACACCACGGTCCTCTGCCCCCAAGTCCCCCCCCCCACCCGGCCCCAGAGGTGTGTGCAGGGAGAGGGGCGCGGAATGCCAACGCCCGCGCGATTGTAGGTCTGAAGTAGCGTTGACATTGAACTCCGGTCCCCTTGCGTGCGTGTGCGCGCGCGCGTGGCCACGCGCGTGTTTGCGTGTGTGAGTCGTGGGGTGGGGGCCGGGCTAGAAGCTGCAGCAAACCACTGCCCTCGGGGAGCAGAGCCGAGCGCGCCCCCGAGCCGCCGCCAGCGGGAGCTGCGAGCGCCGAAGCCATTCATGATTTTGGTGACGTTATTCCAGGAGTGGGCGAGGGGGGGCGGGGCCTCCCGGAACCGAGCCCCGCCCCCTCCCCTATAAATACGGCTTCCTGGGCTCTTTGTGGGGCCGCGAGCTCGGTGGAGAGCCGAGAGCTCCGTCTGCTTATCCGACGCTGCTGGCAGTGGGGCTGTCTCCGGGAGGCAGACCGGCGAACGCCCAGTGCCCACACTCGGCAGCCTGCAGCGCCTGTCTGAGCCCGTGACATCCTTACCCGAGACGCAGTGACCGTGTTTAAATCACAAGGGCGTGGGTCAGGCTCCCCTAGGACTTCATGTCTGTATATTTCCCCATTCACTGGTGAGTATCCTGCGCCCTCGGCGGGCATCCGTCTCGCGGCCGTGGCTGCGGGGCCCGGGCGCCTGCCCGTGCCTGCTCTGTGCGAGGGCAGCGGGTGGCGCGGGCGCCGGGCACTAACCCGCCGCCCAAGCCGGAGCAGGAGCCAACGTCAAGGTTGCAAAGGTGGGGGTGGGGAGGTGGCGCTGAGAGCATCCAGACAAAGGAAGTGAACTCGAAGCCTTCACTTAAGTGACGGCTGGGAGGGTGTGCGTACGGCCGTAGTGGGGTCGGGGGAGAACCAGGGGTCACGGCTGAACCCGGCTAATAAAAGCCCCTTCGCGGAGGGCTGCGGGAGGCGCGCGCCCTGCCTGGCGTAGGGGGCTCCTGCTCTCCCCGGGCCCCTCCCCTTTTCCTTTTTGTTTGCATGCAAGTCTTGGCGTCGAGGCCGGCGGCAGCGGGGCTGAGCTGGTGCAGCGCTGGTGCAGCGGCGGCGTTTGCAGAGCTCCGAGGGGTGAGGGAAAACGCTCTCTCCACACGTAACCCGACTGAAGCCACAGGCAGCAGCACAGTCCCTCGCTGCCACCCTCTCGATCCCTTTTCTCTCCATAGCCCCTAAACCCGACGCGCCTTGATGGGGGCCCGGGTTGGGGAGGAGCTGCCCTCACCGGGCCCGCCGGGAAGGAGCCCGGGCCGGGTGGGGGAAGGCGGAGGTTTGCACCCGACCGGGGATCGGGGCTGGGAGGGATGCGCCCCGGGCGCCCGCCTCGTTGAAGAGCGAGGCCCAAGGCCGCTGGGACTTGCGCACCGGCTGCTGCTTCCTTCCTGCGCTGGGGAAGAGGAAGAGCTGTCGGGGGGCGAGCGCTGTGGCGGCCTGGAGCTCGCTCCCAGGTGCGGGCGCGGAGAGCCCGGCCCCGCAGGCTCCATGTCCGCGCAGTCCTGCTCAGCTCAGATACCGGAAAGTTCATGCTTCTTGCTTCAGCTTTTCGGCCCCGCGCCACAGCCGGGAGCGAGGAGCGAACGCTCAGACACCAGGCTAAGAGCCTGGCAAGAGCCCGGTGGGCGCTCTTCTGGCCAATTACTTTGGGGGTGGGCAGTAGCCTCTCCATAACCCAGGGGGAAACTGACTTTGGAGTCCTGGCTTCTGACCCTAAACTTGCCCGGAAGCCTAGCATCTTCTTTTGGTCTCCCCTCCCCCAACCCAGCCCGTCTCTGTTTAGAAAGGAGACTGAACTCTCAAAACAAAGTAAAAATTTCCTCACCCCGGAGGCTTGCGATCCTCTCTCCTCTGAGCTCTCCTTCCCTCCCACCTCCAGGTACCATATGGGTGAGACTTGGAAGGCAGCTGGAGGCTGTGTGCCCCTGGCCACTCAAAACTTGCCAAGATGGTGTTAAGACTCATCAGGGTTATTGTCCCCTGAGAGATTAAGGTTTGGTATTATTTTACAGTTGATTGGCATTTCATAGTTTGCAATGCTTTTCCCCCCCAGAGATTAGTCCTTTACCATAACTGTGAGATATGCATTATTAGCATCATGGTAACAGACTAACAGCGCATCTGCAGCTCAGAGAGGTTATATGACCTGTTCAAGATCACACAGCACTTGAGCGGCATAGCTTGGACCAGAACCTATTGCTTCTGTTTCCAAATCCTGTGCCATTTCTACTCTGTAGTAGCTTTAAAATGGAAAAGAGTTTGGTACCCCTGTTTCCTTAGATACAGTCTTTCTAAGGCCTACCCTACGTTTTTTTTTTTTGTTTTTTTTTTTTAACCATGTGTAAAGGCATGATGGTGAAAATATTGGCTGTTGTGTAGGGAGTACACTGACTTTGGTATGTGCTATTTGGCATTACACATTCAGGACCCTGTACGTGCCCATGGCTTGTGTGAGGATAATGGAACATTTGTATCCTGCTTACAGAGTACAAAGCACTTTCACATGTCAGCCATTGGTGGGCCAGCTTGGCCCCTCTGGAAATTTCCTTTGCAGTCAGAGTCCGGGCATCCTTAAGGCTTTTAATCCAGGGGATGTTTTTCAAGCTGTGAGCTTGCAGCTGCTGTGGCTGGGGCTAGAGAAAGAGGTTGGATGGCAGATGTGAAGCTTTCAGAAAGCTGACCCCTTGGGGCTTTAAGTGGGACATTTTGCAAAAAGGAACACCAGAGACACAGAGAAATTTAGGAAGGCAGCATTATCGAACTTGGTTTCTCTGAGGTTGACTTGTTATCATTATGTAATAATAATATTCAGTTCCCCTAGAGATGGGTTGAATTGGTTTTAATATAGATAGACGGCCTCAGCTACTTACTGTTTTTTTTTGTTTTTGTTTTTTCTAGTTCTGTCACTTAAAAGAAAATCCAGAGTCGCTCTGTGCCAGTAGGAACTAGTACAGGAGAGGAGGGAAGAGGAGGTTTGCCAGAGCGGTTTTCAGACAATGGGCTTTGCTGGTGGAGGTTGAGAGCCCTGATGCTCTAGGCTTGTAAGGTGCTTCCTCGAGGCATGAGCTCGTTTTTTGGCGAGTTCTGTTTTGAACACCTCTCATCCTGCTTCCAGGCAGTCCTCTAATTTAACAGCAGAAGGCACCAAGAGTAGGCATGTGAAAGTGTGTGTGTTTGATGACTTTTACTCTGGGTTTCTTGGCAGCCCTGACTATCTGAGATCAGCCGAGATGACTGAGGTGATGATGAACACCCCATCCATGGAGGAAATTGGCCTCAACCCCCGAAAGGATGGCCTTTCCTATCAGGTAAGTTCAGTACTGGCTTCCTTCTGGTTCCTTAGAGCCTAGTGTCTTTTGCTGGGGCTGGAGGCAGACTTGGTTCTGTATCCCAGTGCTGTGTGTAAGAGCTATGCGCCCTTGAGAAAGTCCCCTAATGCCAGTAAGCCTCGGTTTCTTAATCTGTAAAATGGGGCAACAATAGTCCTTACTTCATAGAATTGTGGTGAAGATTCAACATGATGAGATGACATGGATAAGGGCATTCACAGTACCTGGGAGGCAGTAAGCATTCAGGAAGCATGAGTTGATGTTATTAATTAGTCATCCTGGCTGCTGTGGACTCTCCCCTTCATAGTGGCAAAGGGGGAAGTGATAATGTGCAGTCAGTTCAGATCAGAACTTCCCTCCCCACCCAAGCCTTGGGCAGTAGCAACATTGCTGTGAGGGGCAGCTTATGGGGAAGGGTAGTCTGGTGGAGGCATTGCTGTGTCAAATGCTGCTTTCTTCCTCTGGTTGATGGTTGACCAACTGATTCCAACAGGGTTAATGTTCAAACTACTTAGAGTTGAAGAGACCTTTCCCAGAAGGGTAGCTCTCTCAGGGATGTTATTGCCAGGATCCAGCATAGAGATTATGCTGTGTGGTGGATCCAGAATATATAAGGACCAAAAAAGTGGTCTAAGTAACACCTTCAGATTCTCAGCCCAGTGCTCTTTCTGGCCTGCCATTCACTTTCCACTGCCCACAGCCCGCTGCAGAGACCTCCAGATGGCACCGAGGCAGTGAACTGTTTTCAGATTTCCAAGAAGAGTGCCTACATTATTACCTTCAGGGGAGGAAAGAGTCTGTTCTTAAGGGAAGATCTCGGAGCTAGGGAAATTGTGTAGGATGGCTGGCCGGGGAAGATGAATGAAGTGGGCTCATTCAGCAGATATTAACTGAATGTGGCTATGGGCCATGCACTTTACAAATGTTACTCATTCACTCTTGACCGTGGGCACTGAGATGGGAATTTTTGTTCTGTTTCACAGATGAGGAAACAGGCTCAGACTGAGTGGATGACTTGAGTCTCGAACTCCAAAACCTTGCTCTTCTGATGTATCATGTGTCTGTGCCTTGGGGTTGGCTCTTGGCTAGAATCTAGACTTGTTCTGCCTTAGAACCATTCCAGGGGCATTTGTTTTGTGAAGGAAGAGAAAATAGAAAGCTGGGTGGGTGTGATGGAGGGAGGGTGATCAAAGAGAGCTGAGATGAAAGCTAAGGTTGGGTAAGGTAATTTGGCAGGTGACAGCAAGAGTCACCGCAGACACACTTGGGAGGTTAGAGAAGGCCCCTTTGTTGTGTGTCAAAATGGCCAAGCCCCTTTTGCTGGCTGGAAATAAGTATTCAGGTAGCCTGAGGGGATTCAGAGGGAGGGGGGAAATACCCTTTCCTGGTTGGTTTTGTACCTTCCACCCTCAGAGTGGGTCTGAGAGAGACAATTGAAAGCCCCACAGCCTGTGGAAGGGTAGAAGTTTCCTGACCTACCATCTGGGGTGTTTTTGGATACCAGTTTCCAAGCCACTGAATCAGACTGAATCTCTTTGTGGTTACAGGTGAGGTGTTTTTTGTTTTTTGTTTGTTTTTGTTTTTTCAGTTCTGGGTTTTAGATTTCCATCACAAAACCTTTCCAAACACAGTCATCAGTATGTCTGTGTGTGCTTTTTGATATTCTCCTTTTGAACGTGTTCCAGGATAAAGGACCAGGTCCTACAGGGCAGTTTTCTTGACCTTCAGGTCATTCTGCTGGATCTGAGGGTAAGAACAGGTCATGACCCAAGAAGGGGCTGCAGTGCTGGGTGAGGACAGCTGAATTGGGGCTGCCACGGCAGGAGGAAAATAAAATCGCCTCTGGGTTCCCAAGATAACTCGATGCTGCCTAAGAAAAGGGCCCTCAAATCTTCCTTTGTGGTGCTGGACTTAGGGCCCAGTTTTCACAGCCTCTCAGGAAATCTGTCCTGCTACCTGAGTGGGGACGACTGCACAGTTCCAAAATATCTTACCTAGAACTTCAAAGCACTCTGTCACAAGATTTCAGAAAGGTCTTCTGGTTGCCTGGTGAAGAGAAAGGGGAGAGGTGGTTATCGTCAAGCAAGCAGTATTTATTGGACACTTGCTGTATGTAACATGCTATGCTGGGCATTGTAGGAAGGGTCCAGGGCTCATGTGGGAAACTAGCAGGTATATAACTGGAACACAGGCCATCTGGTGGAGCAATATGAAAGCTACGGTCAGTCCAGGGATGTGTGACAATCTAAAGGCTTGGGAGAAGGAGGTCAGACTGGGGCTGGGCCTTGAAAGAGGCTTTGAGAGGACACTTCCACATCTAATTTTGTTGCACCTTCAGATACCCCTTGGCTTGCCCCTGTTTCAGCCAGGTGCAGGGCTGTGCAGCGAACTGGTCTGCCAATTGTCAGGAGACCGGTATTTTCTGGGCCCACTCAAAGCCAGTGCCATCCAATTAAACACATTCCCACCAGAGCTCTGGGGATTGGCTGGGGCTGCACTTGGCTGGAGCCTGTCCATTGTACATGCTCAGGCTAGGCTTGGCTCTGGGGGCAGGAGATCTTTGAACTCTGTTCTTGGCATTCCTCCTGAGGGTAATAATAGTACATGGCTTTTACTGCGACCTGCTTTTCCAAGGAACTAAAAGTGGGAAGGAGACATCAATCCCAGCTTGGCAGTTGAAATAGAATCTAAGACTTGTGGTTTGACCTTGAAACAAGGTCATAAAATAAATAGGCACACTGGAATTTGTCAGTTGTTCCCCCCCCTTCCAGACCTACCCAGAAGGAAGCTTCCCGATTTCTCTGCCCCAGGTGTGACCTCCCTCTTCTCCAGCACCTGTGGCATTTGTGCTTAAATGATGCTGCCGTGGTCCTGCCTGAGCTTCTCCCTGCCCATGTGTCCGAGGGCAGGGGATGACTTATTCCCTTTTTGTGCCCATTAGCCATCACCCCTCCTGCAGCCCTCCCCAACCCGAGGTGACAGCCTGGGCCTTCACAGAGCAGGTGCTAAATGGATGGTGGTGCTTTCAGTTAAATTGAGTCTCTTGGTTCTGAAGCTGCCCACCTTCACTTCTGCCTTAGAATTTTTAAAGGGCCTCCTCAGGGTCAGATAGTTGTCTTTTTATCCCCTGAAAGATTCGGGTAAACCCGTCTCTTGTGCTTTGGGAGTTAGCATGTATAAAAATCCACAGAGCTGGTGCCTTGTTTTGTCTTTAACATTTACTTGGAGAGTCAACTCAGTATGTGCAATGCACGTCTGCTCTCTCACTTGGCATGAATTATGACACCCCACGGGGTGGGTGAGTGAATAGTTACTAGAAAGTCAAGGACATGTTGGGCGGGATGGGAGTGGTGGCCAGCTCACAGGGCTGAGTGGGAGGGTCTCCATGAGGACATTTCTGCCCCTGCTGGCTGCAGCTCGCTCCCCACACTGCATCTGTCAGCCTCCTGTTCTCTGGCCCCTGGGATGGGAACGTCTGCGCCTAATGTCTTCTTCCTTTCCCTAATTCAGGGGAGCAGGTCAGTGGCTGCCTTGCAGGCTCCCCCATTACAGCTCTAGGGACTCTAAGAATGTGGCAATTCGGAATGCCTCTCTGACTGGGTCTCCTTACGTGCCGGGCCTGAGTTGGCCTGGAGAAGGGACCTGGGCATTTGCCTGTGGACACTGATGCTGCCACCACCAAGGGCTGTGTGTTCTGGCCTTGCTGCCTAGCTTCGCCCAGCACAGTTTGCTGAGGCTTTTGCAGTTCTCTCCCCCTTGCTAAGTTCTAGACAGAGATACGGCTCCCCAGTTTTCACTTAAGACTGTCCCATCTAAAGCAACTGGACCAGGATCTGATAAATTTTATCCTTCCCAAGGCCCTTTAAATTCCTCTCTGATCAGCATACATGTCCCTCCCTGGTCACCTTTTGTATTCCTCTTGCTGTTCTTGGTCTCATACTCCTACCATTTAACGGCCGCCCACCAGTCAGACGAGGGGAGCCGGGGAGGATGCGCTGTAAGCCAGAGGCGCTAATTCTGCACGTACCACAGTGCCCCGTGTTCTGGGCCTTCCCTAGGAGCTTCCCCTGCATTTCCCGACAGGAGGAAGGGATATCCTGGCGTTTTATAGGATAGGGAAGAGGGACAGTGGTGGGTGACCTTCTCCTGCCACAGCCCTGCCGTTCGCTTCTAGCAGTCTGAGTCTCGCTTTTAGCTCTGCATTAGGACGGGTCTAATGCACTGTGCTGGCTGAGAATAGCTCCTCCCCAGATAGGAACTCTCTGCTTCCTCCATCTCCAAGGCCCAACAATAGACGACTCCTTTATCTCTCCCTCCTCGCTCTTTATCAGAAGCAGCAACTCCTCTCTCAAAGAATAGTCTCAGTTGAACCTCTAAAGTCAGGTGGCACTTCGGAAACACTTTCTCTTCACTCACCTCTCTGCTGAGCCTTTCTTTATGAGACCCCCAAGGCTGGCTCTCCTTGCTCCCACCCGTGTAAGTGCAGATGTTGAAGTCAATGATGGGCTGGGGTTCCTGCGCGTGCCTCTATTCGCCTCCCTCAAGCCCCCGCTCACAAGGCCACTCCAGGCATAAGTCATCGCCTCCCTTTGTCTCCTCCTCCTGGTGCCCTTGTCGCGTTGGATACTCCCAGCTGTGGTACCCAACAAGTTCTCAAGAGTTTTGGAGGCCCAGCTGGGCAGGCGCACAGAAGTACCATGGTCACCAGGAAAACATCTTTCACATCAGACTTAAAAAAGCCTCAGTTGTCCCTGAAGAAACATAAAGCTAAAATTCCGAAGCACTTGGCAGGAGATGTCCCCCCATGGACACAACATGCTCCTGGAATCTCAGTGAGTTTTCTTTTTCCTATCCCCACCCCGTCCTCCCTGCTCCCTGCTTGCTACAATTCGTAAGAACATGAGGCAAACAGGCAGTTAGGGCCACAAGGTTCAGAGGCACAAGTTCATGTCTTTGGGTGGCATTGGGCCTGTGTCTGA